TGCTTTTCTTTCATTTCTTTCATGCGAGACCTTACAACAGTATGTATTGAAGCGAATACAAATCCCCTGTTAGTTGAAAGGGTAGCTTTAACACACTTTCCTGGATTTCCTCTTTATATTCTTATCTAAATGTCTGTTTTTTTTGTTTTTTTTCTAATCTTGACACTGATTTTTTTTTTTTTTTTTTAGAATAAAAAACACTCATTTAATCATACCTACCATCATTGATACTTTATATTGCTAATGTTATAAAATGCAAAATGTATATGTACATATACATATACATGTGTCTACATATGTGTATACATGCATATACACACATATATATATATATTTGATTGAGTGAATGCGTGTATGCACACACACACAAGCACGCACACACATACACACAAATATATATGTGTGTGTTTCTGCATATGTACACACATACGTGTCTGTGTATATGTATATGTATATATGTACACATACATTTATGTGTGTGTGCGCGCGCATCTATGTGATTATATACACATATGTGAATAAACTTTCTTTTACGCACACACACACACATATATACGTAGTTTTTGCAGCCACAGATTCCCACCTACTTTATACAGCTGATCACTTTTTTTCTAACCCTAATCCTTCTCTATCTACAGTACAAGCTTATTTAAGGGAGCCATCGCACTAAAACATGCAGTAACTCTTTAAATATGAGGTTCACATTTACTCTCTTTCTCTCTAGCAATTATGTTAAAAAAATGACAACGATAACAATAAGAGTCTGGTATACAGGTCCAATTGTACATTTATTGATTCTAATGTTATAATCCTAGAGCTGTGAAGCATTGTAGAAATATAATTTTGTTTCGCTATGGTTATAATATATATATATATATATATATATATATATATATATATCGATACAGTTAAACGTTTCAACAATTTCCTATTCACATACCACTAGTTACACACCATTACCTTTACGCATAACCTATCAGTCCATAATCATCTTTGACACTGATACCATCTCTCTCTCGATCTTAAAGTATTCTTTTATAATTGATATTTCATTGAATATTAAAACACACACACACGATCTCTCTTGTCCGGCACCTTGAACTTCATTTCATTCACTAAAAAAATACAATCCTTAACGTTGCCCATATCTCTCAGATGTGCTGGTCGACGGCAAGGGAAAAGGGTGTAACAGTCGATGCTCCTTTGGAATCTGCCACTAATCTATAAAAAGTATCATTTTGTGTGTGAATTAGTTGCCACGCTACAACTTCTAGCTGGTGATGACGAGCACGCTCAGTGACATCACTCCCTGTTGATTCTTACTACCGGTAAGAATGGCGAGATTCTGACGTCTTGCTTTTAGCTGTTTCACCCTCTTGAAAACCGTTTCTTTTTCCTGGAGCGTAAATGCACCAGCTCTAATATTCATATAAAATTACATGCAGTTATCTACAATTGTATTATTACTGAATTTTATATGAAAGGGATTAACAGAGACACCAATACGTGTTAAATGGATTATTTAAACATTATCAAGATATTGCTCCTCGTAAACAAGCAAACAACAGCAGTTTCTGTTTTCATTATTGGGAACTTCACATTTATAAACATTATTTGAAAAGGTATTTTGTTTATGAGTAATTGCAATGTGTTTTTTTTTTTCTAAAAAGTCTCTATCAAACTTCAACCATGCTTTGTGAAATAAATTTCCCTGTTATATTCGAAAAGCGGCTTAATGAAAGAGGCCCATGGTTTTTGTAGAGCCTTGTTAAAGGTGCGCAGGAGCAAATTTCAAGTCTCTGGAATGCGGTCAGTGACTCGGGACATCTGTTATTTCTTTTTTCTTTCTTTCTTATTTTTTTCACTGGAAGGACATATATGCAGACCCTTAATCTATTTTAGTAACGTAAGAAACGATCAATAGCCTTTTATTCAGTTTCTACAGAATAAGAAAAAATAAACTATTTAAAAGAGAGAGCTAAAGAGAAGGAAGATACGGCATATGCGGAAAATAGAAATGGCCGTTACTTGAACAGTCAATCCATTTTAAGCCTATAACCGGGACCGGAAACTCAGATTGATCAAAGGATAAACACTACACTACACCACTTCACTCAAACAGCCTATATCTGCCCAGCCGTAGTAGAGTTTTACTTCCATGAATACCACAACTTACGCATACATACACACACACACACACGGTGAAACAAGATTCTTCAAGCGTTTGTAGCAGAAAATTCGCTTTTCTTCTAAAGCATAGTCCATTCATCGTTTGCTATGTCATGGCTGTACTGAATATTGGTGTCGGCTTTAAACTTAGCTTAATATCAACTTCATTTCAATATGATAAAAGTGAGATGAAACAATGAAAATGCACTACAAGTAAAATGCCTCACACACACACACTCACGCACGCACATACACACATACACACACATACGTGTTTTTTTGTTTGTTTGTTTGTTTTTTGTATATATATATATATATTATATATTTACATCCTTTTACTTATACCCACACATACGCAATCACACACACACATACGTGTGTTTGTGTGTGTGTGTGTGTGTGTGTGCGATTGCGTCTGTGTGGGTATAAGTATAAGGATATAAATATAATATATATATATATATATATATATATATATATATGTATATATATATATATATATATATATAATGAGTATGTGTGAGTATATATAAATACATATACATGCATATATATATATATATATATATATATATATATATATATATATATATATATATAAATAACACAAGCACAGTAACGTGTACACAAAAATGGAAAGGAAAAATGCCTGTTTTTCTATTCATATATGTCATATACATACATACATACGTACATACATATAAATATATTTATACACACACACTCAATGCATACATATATATATTTAAATTTGTATATTTTCCTTCTATACGTATACATGCATATATATATATGAATATATACATATATACATTTATTTTATCTTTATACTTATTTATGATATGTATATATGTATATATTAATATATATATATGTGTGTGTGTGTGTGTACGTATACATATAAGTGTGCATATATGTTTATATATGTATTTATACATATATATGTATATATAATGCATGTGTACATGTATTTATGTATATATCTATATGTATGGGTAGATATAAATGTATAGGCCTATTTATATAGGAAATTCTATTCTAAACTTTATGTGCTTGTCCATGCTCCTGTCTGACAAACACCACACACAGATGGGTATTACTATTACAGTATGTGATGTTGAATGTAAAAATGGTTGGTTAATATTTCAAAATGTTAATTTCTCAATCACGATCCGCTACATTCAAACCGACGCAAGAAAAGCTTCGCCCTGCGTTGCAGAAACACGATAAGAACTTGTCCATGAGTGACCTTGCCGTCACGATATAAAATGATCACTACCTGAGTTGCCGCATCAGTTCCATCTGAAAGCACCGCACTCACCATGAATACCAAGGTAGATCCCGAAAAGTTTATCAATTTTCAGCGAATTGCGATCTGTCATAAATGGTTTTATCTGAACATTTTTATGCCACTTCTATTTTCATTTTCTATTGCAGGTCTTCATCCTCCTGGGTCTCGCAGCCATTGCTGCTGCCGACAGCTTCGAATCCTTCGAATACAGGCCACCAAGGGTTAGTTTTCTTGCCAACGTATTCCTGAATTTCTTTGTGTTGAAAACTTGCAGTACTTCCATTTTCAAACAACCTTTCAAACTCAACCGTACTTAAACTTTTATTTAAAACAAAGCAAAACAAAAATTATTTTTTTGCAGAGGTCCTCTGAATCCTTCGAGTCGTACGAGTCAGGTGAGGCCAAGTACGACTTCAACTGGGCCGTCAGCCACGATCCCTCAAGCAATGAATTCGGACACCAGGAGGCCCGTGACGGCGACCACACTCAGGGATCCTACTACGTGGAGCTCCCTGACGGCCGCCTGCAGACCGTAAAGTACTTCGTGGACGGTGACTCCGGCTACGTGGCTGAGGTCAACTACGAGGGCGAGGCTTCCTTCGAGTCTGGTTCATCCGAATCCCGTGAATACAGATACGTGTACGACTCCAACGAGTCCAAGTAAACCACTAAACGAAGCTGACTTGTGATATTCGTTGATGACAACTGCAGAGCTTATTTTTTATGATATGCATATATTTATTAAAGTTTAAATGAAATAAGCTTATTGTTTCATATCACGAACAAAACAAAGGAGGGATTTTTAAACGAGTGTTTCACATAAGCATGAGGCTACGTAACAAAGTATATATAGTGTAATGCAGTGAAACGAAGGTCTTACTTTAAGGAACATATTGAAGGATTATACATTATATATGAATAAATAACCAAAGGTACTATGATATACACCCACATGCATGACTGTGTCTTTAGAGGTATGTAAACACACACGACTCTCATACGCATGCACGGATGTGCATATCTATATCCATTCATACATGTCTCTTTATGTTAGTACAAAACATACTGCACTGTCAATCATATAAACCATACCAATCTCTTCTTGATTTTAATGTTAATGTATGTATACTGTATTATGGTTTCCCATTCGCATACTTATCATATATATATATATATATATATATATATATATATATATATATATATATATAAATATATATATATATATATAAATATATATACATTTATATATATATATACGTACACTGGCAAATGAAAACTATATGTGTGTATTTCTATATGTGTATGTATGTATATATATACATATACAGATATAAACATACACATATACATAAACACAAAAACACGCCCACACATATATGTGTGTGTAAATATATGTATATATATATATATATATATATATATATGTAAATATACATGTAAATATATGTATAAATATATATACTTATATATATGTACGTATATGTATTTATACATATACATATATGTGTAATATAGATATATGTATGTATATATGAAT